CTACTACTACTACTACTACTACTACTACTACTACTACTACTACTACTACAGTCTCCAAAAGTCAGCAATCACGTCTCCAAAACTAGCGTGTTGCACAAGACCTCCAAAAGTCACATCTCAAAGTCTCCAAAACGAGAATTTCGTACGAGACTTCCTCCAAAAGTCAAGCGGGAAGCCCCATCTGAGCGCACACATCAAGCAGCCCTGCCAGGCAATTTTGCGATTCCACCCCCTCCAGACAACACCCGCTCATACCGCCAACCCGAATGTCCACCTCCAACGCACACAAAGTATGCGCCTGCACGAAATGTGACCCAGACCACCAGAATTAAACGAGAACCCTTCGCTACGCATTCGGTAAACTGGACACCTTTTGTGTTTAGCTCTTCGTTTAAGAACGCATTTGCACACAACAAGCGACACAAATAACATGTTGTTGTTGCTGTTGTTGTTGTTGTTGTTTACACTTAAAGGTTCGAGACCGTCCACAAAAATAGTTATATTGTTGTTGCTGTTGTTGTTGTTGTTGTTTACACTTAAAGGTTCGAGACCGTCCACAAAAATAGTTATACATAAAACAAACATCAAAAAGCAAATAAACAAGCACACACGTAAACACACACACATAAAATTACACCACCGCAGACCCCAAACAGGTGGGACAACAAAGAATCATTCCCAAGTCCATCTTTGAGACATGGGAGACAAGATGGAAGACAAGGCGGACACAACGACCAACAAGAAGGGAGACAAAAGGAAACAGAAGGGAGACAAGATGGACACAATGACCAACGAGAACAAAACAAGGAGGAAGACAAAAGGAAACAGAAGGGAGACAAGACGGACACAGTGACCAACAAGAAGGGAGACGAGACCGCAGACAAAGGGAGACAAGAAGGAAGACAAGGTGGACGCAATGACCAACAAGAAGGGAGACAAAAGCAAACGCAAAGAAGACAAGACGGACGCAGTGACCAACAAGAAGGGAGACAAGAATGGAGACGAAGGGAGACAGAAGGGAGACAATACGTAGTCAGTGTCAACGGCACTGCCTCCTTGAGCAGCGAGCTGATCAGCTGCTTGCGAAAACAATCAATCTGTGCCCGCAAAACCCTCATCAGTGTGTTGGATAACAAAAATGGTGTACCTCCTGGGACTATGGCTACCTTTAACCACACTTGACCGATTGGGAGAACTAGGGCGTGGTTGCTTTGCAAGGTCCCTTGATTTCCAAATCGAAAGACCATTTGGCAGGCACAGCGCTTCACTTGCTTGCGGATGTCGGGACTCAAAAAAACTGGCGAGCGGCTCGGACACATGATCACCCTATCACAGTCTTAACCAACAAGAAGGGAGACAAGAAGGGAGTCAAAGGGAAACAGGAAGGGAGACAAGACAGACGTGACCAACAAGAATGGTTGACGAAAGGAGACAGAAGGGAGACAAGCCGGACGGAACGCGGAGACGGTGTCCCGCAGCAAGGCGGACACTCTTAAACATTGGGAACCCCTAGTAGCAACCTGTTTGGGGAAAAACTCTTGGGGGAACCCACAAACAGCTTTTGTATGATGGTTATGATTCCTGTTTTGCTTTTGCGTTCTTTGGCGAGCAGCCAAACCAAACGCATGCAAATGACAAACACACCAAGAAACCGTAAAGGCAAAGCGCACACACAGACCAAACAAAAAACACGCGTGGGTTTCCCATTATTTATCCCAATGAGGTTGTTCTTCGCGTGCTTCGGTTCTATTAGGTGTTTTGGGGTGTTTGTTTCTTGTAGTTTGCTGTGTTAGTCCAAAACAAAGTGCTGTATGATAGCCACAGTAAAGGCAAGTTACTTCACGTGTCCCCTTCAATGGTGTGCGTGTCTTTACCCCGCTCCTTTGTTTAAATTGTATGTGCGTCTAAACTATATAAAATCAGAACAGCTATCATTGTGCGTCTAAACTATATAAAATCAGAACAGCTATCATTATACATTCTAATTCAATGCCTTTTCAGGCAGCCATACATGAAGCCCACATCAAAGTCACTGACGGGTGACCAGTAGGACAACAAACAAACCGCAAGCCATCGCAAGCCCCTCATGAAAAAAAACATCGTTGTTTCATTGAGGCAAGTTGGTCTCTGGTATCTTCTTTTCAGCCTTCCGTGAGAAACCAAGCTGCAAGCTCATCCTCTGCGTTGACAAAGCCAAACCCAACAATGCAGTTGGTGTCAACAGGGAGCCATGGCTCCCAAACCTCAGGTCATTGCACTATATTAGCATTAGTTACCTACAAAAGAGAACATAATGGCTTCACTATGTCAAATCAAGTTTAAAAGAAAAACGGAAACCGCCAACTTATATCATCAAATGCCGCATCTCCAGTGTGAACTCGTTGGCAGTTCTGAACCCTCTCCGGCCACAAATATAGAGAGGCTCTTTGGGAAACGCACGGTTTTGTTTCCGACTTTCCTTTGCATTCTTGTTTAATGTTTCGTAATGAAAGGCTATGAGGTCCGATCATATATTTTTGCTATGGTGGCGATTGGCACCCTGCTCGTGCCGTGGTGATGACAAGTAGAACCTGGATAAGGGAGACCAAGCTGGGCTCATAAAAAAAATGATCGGGGTCTATGAAACGATTCCCGAGAGAGTGAACTTGATTCCATTTCTTCGAGATCAAGTGAAGTGAATTCAGTGGTTTGGGAGGAGAAGGGCATGATTGCCAAATAAACGTTAAAAAAAACATAACACATCCAAGAAACTGGTCGATTTGACTTGGCCCACTCGCAGATTTGCGTGCGAGCGTCGTCCTGATTGTTGAAGAAAGCAAGTTCTCCCATCTCTGGTGGGAAAGTGATCGCCGAGCTTAACCTTGGATTTGTTGTCGAGGAAACCAGGAAAAGCAAACAAATGCTCCCCTATTCTCCAGGGGAGTCACCCAGGAAACGGGGCAATAAAACATCACCCGAACTAAACAATACCCAGTAACTGAGCAACTTGACCTTTGTCAATTTTGAGCTTGTCTACCAAAACCCTGGCTCGAGGTGCATGACGCGCTAATAGAGCACTACCATACTTATTAAGTGTTATGCCCGCAGATGCCGTCCTGTAGTTGCCCTCTGCATGTTCTAAAGCATTGTGCTCTGGAAGCACCAGTCTGGACTCATCTAGATCTGTGAATTCTCCTTCATCTGGTTCCCACCAATAATGCAGCACATCATATTGCCTGACCAATTCCTGGAACCGAGTAATATTCGGCGGTCGTCCAAAGGCAAGTGGAAGATTGTGAACCGTCGCCCACTGCAGAAATGGGTTCAATGTATTCCAAGCGGAAAGGACTGGAATGCATTGAGAAGGATTGTTTCGGCATGCAGGGGACAACCAAAATCGCCCATCAGGGCACCTGGCCACATATCCTTCTGGCGTCGCCGTCACACCCTCAAGATCTCCAGTCCACTTCACATAGTTTGCCCAAATGGCCGTGTTGGTGAAATCCGCACCCCAGGTGGTGGAATCGCTACACAGAAGAAAGTCTTCCATCTCAAGTTCAGACAAACCATGGAAAAATCTCACTGGCTGATGCACGCTTGCGTTGTAGTTCCTGTAGTACTCCAGGGCCAAGGCAGCGTTTCGATATGCCGCATCTCGAACTGGACCTTTGACATAAATACCTGAGCGGGACTGGCGACCAAGTACCTGGGCTCGCCCATATGTATATATGGAATATAATGACACACATATATCTTACAAGGGGTCCCCGGTGCGGGGACAGCGGGCCCGCTACTGAGCTGAAACTCTGTGTTATTCATGCATACCTATCTGCTGTGCAGTAAACCTATAAATACAAATATATATATATATATTGAAATAATATGGAGGAAGCGCTGCCCTGGAGAAACCAGAAGGATCCAGAAAGTCTTTTCACAGTGCCGCAAAAAACAACAGGAAGGCATGACCAGTACCCCCCCGCAAACAATTCCAGCCATGAACGATTTCCTTGAAGAATGTTTCAAGAAACCTCAGCAAACCCTATCTGTGAAGATCATGAAGAGTATGGATATTCAACACTGACTACCAAATCACATCAAACCGCCCATGGTTCTTCAATGTTCTTCAAAGTGACTCTGTTTGCGGTCGATTGACACTGTCAAACCCTGAACGTTGGTCACTTCGAACGACATCAAACAAAACCTTTAAGACAAGGGACCCCAGGTGAAGATGTACCCCATGTCCCCCAGGACCTGTGGTGCTCGTTCCGGGTGTCGTGCTCGAAAGGATTCGATCAGGTTCGGGTCATCTGCCTGGAAATCGCATGGAGGGAAAGCTTCTGAGAAGACATTGCGAACTTCCAAATACATTGCCACGCCATGAATTCAATACATCTCCCAAGATGTTTTTGTGTCACACTCCATCACCGCCATATGTTTTGGTCTTTTTGGAGCACTTCTTGATACTTCTTACCAAATGTGTGGGGCATTTGCAATGTTTTCTGGAACCTGCAGGGCCACTGTGGGGAAAAGCGTTGTACTTGGCCATGGACTTGCGCGCGTCTGTTGGTCCGAAGATGTTGTTGGTTGTTGCGTAGGGTCTGCAGTAGCAAGTTGATGTCACATGCAGAGTTGAAAAAATGGGGGGGTTGGGTGAGCGGGTGTGAAGGAGGACTGCCGCATGAACCCTTTGAGGTCTAGGCAATGTCTTTGTAGCTCTATAGGTCTTTGAGCCTTGAGGAGGCCGAATTACCGGTGTACCTTGGGACGCGATGTTAAAACGAAAAAACCAACTTCAGAGGGCAGATTGCCCCACTATAGAATCACATATCAACCTCCTGCAGTGCTGCAAACATGTTCTCTATAGAATGAGGCGCCTCAAGGTATTGGTGTTCATCATCATGAAGATTTGATAGCAACAAATGGGAGAATCAATGATGCAAAGCCAAGGTTGCTATTGAACTATGGAGAAGCGTGGGAAATATCAAAGTTGAAATTGGGGTTTGAATCAACACAGGACAAAAGTGGCCCAAGAGGTTGGTATTGATTTTATAGTAAAGTCTCGCGGCTCTTCCTTGCCCAATCCTTTCTCTAAATATAAAAAAGTCCTTTGTTTACAAAACGCATTCCATGTACGGCTGTGTGGGGGGCATGCTACCTGTTACCGTGCTTGTGGTCATACACCTTACAACAGTTTATGTTTCTGAGGCCAATATGAAGCAGTCATGGGAAAGTAAACCTCCCCCAGACGTGGATTTCTATTGATGATTGGGTGATGCCCTGTTTCTACTCCAGTTCATCTCGCTCACACAGGGCTTCACAAGTTATCGGTTATATACATATATAGACTATATATCTATCTACCCCTTGAGAGGGTGATGTCAGGTGCACTCGGCTCTTGAGAAGTTGGTCTTAGTCTTGTACACAGCGCCGGGGGATACAAAGCCCAAGCACGGCAAAACAAACCAACGCATTTAAGAACCTGGTAGGGTGATGGCTTTGCAACGAAAAGACATGCCCCGACGAAAAAAGACATGGGACATCATGGGACTATTTGGGAAGTACACGTTGGTCCGACATGAACTGTTAATGTCGCACCAAATCTGCCGACACCGGTCTAGACTGATGAACGTTCGCGTGAGCGGGGCCGGCGTGTTCCTGTTGAGGGGCTCTGGTGAGCTTTGGGCGATACAGTCCCGTTTCGTTGACATTTGTCTGTATGTTTCCGCTCTTCTGCGTCAGCGTCAAGGTTTTTTTTGTCGAGAAAAGCGGTGTCCAGGCTTGGGTCCCGGGTTCGACTCCCCCTTGCGCGTCCCGGACCCAGTCCGGCACCCCTTGGATTGAGGCGGTGCGGGATTAAAGCCAGGCACATGGCAAGGTACCGCGCGCGCCGCCACCAGGCGAAGATAAGGACCCCGGCAGCGCCCGCGTGCGGCTTTTTTTCCTGCACCGCCTGGTCTGCAGTGGCAATAGCATTTTGTGCTTCTGCTTTAACAACAACAACCACAAGAGCAACAACAGCAATAAAAACGACAACCACAACAACAACAACAGCATCATTAACAACTACTGCTACAGCTACTGCTACTGCTACTGCCACAACAAGAACAACAAAACCACAACACGAGCAGCAATAACAACCACAACCACAACCACAGCAGCAACAACAACAACTACAACAACCTAGAACAACAGCAACAACAACAACAGCAACACCAACGACCACGACAACAACGCCTGCTGGCCCGCTGGTGGGCGTCTGGTCCGCTGGTGGGTGTCAGCCCCTTAAATAGGATGGCCTCCATTCAAATAGCGATGGCCTCCAACCTTAATAGCGATGGCCTCTAACCTTCATAGCGATGGCTTCCAACCTACCAATGCGCACTAACATTAAAACAAGGGGGCACACAACACATCTCTGTATGAACATCATGTTTAAAACAAGCCAGGCCACTGGAAACGCATCAGTCACGATATGAACCGCATCAATGGACTGGTTGCACTCAGCATTTGCACAACCTGCAATTTTCGACATGAGCTCACCGGGAGAAGGAAATCCCAAGAACACGGTTGGCGCCATATGATATCCGAGCACCTCAGAGATCAACGGGAGCAATCCCAAATGTGGCATGTCACCTGAGTTCTACACAACAAAACATGTTGCTTGAAAAACCTTTATAGGCAGGAGTTCATTAATTGTGGACTCGGATGCCCCTTCATCACTGTGGTTTTCCTATATGTTGCTTCCACGCACGGAGTTCACCGTGAAAATACATGCGCCGAAATCCGTTGGGGTGGGGGTTTGATTTTGATTTCCTAGCAACCTCACTGGATGCGCCTATAGACGCAGTTAGGCACAAACTTTCCTGTTGGACACAGCTGTAGAATCGGTTTGTCCTCATCTTGGCTGCAGGAGGTGATGACAACAAAACTTGCAGGAGGTGTGTTTCAATGTTTTCGTCCGATCAAGGGTACGTAACTAAGCACAGTTAATCGAGCTACAACATGCTACAACCTGATTTTTTGTTCATGGTGTGTGACCGGGTATTGCAGAAATGTTTGACATCATGCTGAGATGGTAGGGTGCCAAAGGCAATGGAAGCCACCAAGGACCAATGACCGGTACCCAGAGGAGAAGGTAGCTAAGCTGCCTGTTCAGCTAGTGGAAGATGCCGCCACAAAAAGGCTGCAAACACCCCGGATAGGTTCGCTCATGAGAGGGAAGAAGGATGTCTTGTGGCCTGACATCTGGCACTCCTTGGATTTGGCAGGTGATTCTTCCTTTGAGGAGAATGAAAGCTGGAAGTTGAAGATCTCAGGACATGGGCTTCTCATAACCGCGCACATCCTTGAGTTCCGCAAGTCCTCCTAAGCTATGCAATATGGAAGAGCTGTGGCAGTAGTTCATGGAAGACCAAACTGAGATCGAGTCGAAAGCCTCGTGATTTTCAAAGTGAACTTGACCCAGTGGCGAAATGGATCAAAAACATCAGAAGAAACGTTGACTGTTCCTTTTGCCAGCTGAGTGTGGATCAAACCCTGGAGATAGACTTGCTCAGCGGCATTGGAGGGTTTGAGGGGGCCTCGCAGCAATCTGGTCTTGGGCCTCAGCCTGCTGGCGCTCCGCAGCCGCATGCCAGCGGCTCAAAAGAAGAGTATGCCACAGAGTGCGCCTGTGACTAGTAAAGTTCGCAAACTCATTAAACATGATCTGATCACAGCACTAGGCTCCGTTCCGCTCGGTTCCTGGGTGTGCTAATAGGGGTCGGGCTGCCTCAAACGGAATTCCCCGCTTTCTCGAGGCCGATGGGTACTAAAGTTTGTCGAGGCGCTGGTGGTCACTCTGCTAATATGAGGCCTAAGCCCTTGTCCTCCTGGTGAACAGTGGAGTGAGCAAAGGAAAAAGGTTGCGAGCTTACTGGGCATCAAAAGGCATCCTAAGGCCCTTCAGCGGGTCCATGGCGTGATGCTGAAACAGGTCGAAACCCATGGAGGACTTTTGACTATGCGCCAGATCCTTTGGAAGCTTGCTTGAGGCCTGATTGCAAGTGGCCAGCTGGCAATGATGATCCAGATGTTGAGATTTCCCAGCTTCACACTGCATAAGCCGAGACAGCAAAAAACAGCGGAGGCGGTGCCTCAGTTATTCTTTTCTTAGGTCGCAGTCATGGTGAAGACTTTAGCTTGGGAGGTAGGACCTCCTGTGGCAGAACATAGCAGAATGCCCTACTTTCCATGGGCAACAGTCGCTGAGGCATGGGGCTGAAGCAGCCAAAAACGGGTCCGCAAGTCATAGAGGAGCACGGGGTCGCTGAAGCCTTATCTTGCACTTGGAACCAGTCAAGTTGGAACCGGTGGAAGAGCGGCAAAGTGCGCTGAGAGATGCCCCTGCTTAATTGACTCTACGAGAGACAAAAGAGGCACAGGCACTTCCGAGAGTTGAAGCTGAAGGATGCAAAAGCCTTCGTTTGCAGCGGAAGCTCCAGGGAAACAGAATGGCATCTGGATCTGCCTAGCCTGTAATTACCGGCCAAACTCGTTTCCTCAAGTGGATTTAGGCGGACAGGTCAATGTGCCCGAAACTGAGGAAAACCAGCTGTGACACATGGAGACCCAACAGTACTGCAGGTGTGCAGAAACGACCCTTGGCCCTGGGTATACTCAGTCTTGAATGAAGGAAGAACGCACTGGTGATTTGTGGTGCGAAGTGGGGATGATTTAATTTATAACTGGAGGTCCAAGCATGGCAGAAGTCTGGAGGTCCCAAAGTACCAGAGCAGTGATTCTCCACGTAGAGCAGTAATTGCCTGGTGGCAAGTAATCCTGTTCATATCATGCTGCGCGGATCGTGGGTATTGCGTCCTATTGCCATATCCAAAATTACGGAAAGAAAAGGTTTGGTGATAGGAACAAGTGCATCGCTAGTAGTAACAAGTGCCTTACTAGTAGTAACAAGAAGCTACTAGGAACAAGTGCATCGCTTCTAGATCTTCTAGTAACAAGTGCCTTACTTGTTGAGCTTGTGAAGCGAACGAAAAAAAGTCACCCGTGTTGAGGCGAATGAGGTCAAACATGAAACGAGGTCAAATTGACTGAGACCGTCCTTGTCCCTCCTTTTTTTTCCGACCCAGTCCTTCCTATACGGATCCGCGTCGGATCCACATACGAGAAAAGGCCTTCTATATACATCCTTCAGTTCTAAGTCAACAGTCCAAGTCCCTGTAATTACGGGACTCAAGGAGAGAATGATGTACGACTTTGATGCTCCCGCCAAAGCAAAAAGAAGATGGCAAAGGATCTTCAGTGGTGGGTGACGTGGCCTCAGGAAGTTTTGCAGGAGATTTCATGTACAATCATGAGTTATAATATATATATACATATGTGTATATTCAAATATTCAACTATTACTATAATTTAAATGCAAAGTACGCGATGTACACATACGGGGCCTGGTTTACTTGATGTTGTCCCGGATCAAGCCCAACACATGTTACCTGCGGACTCAGGATAATTAACATGAACAGCTTGACGCTGATCATTGATGTGATTAATTGCGCACAAACGGAACACAACAACACATTGACGGACCTACAGGTTGCTCTGGTGCTCGACCCTATGCCACCAATGACTTGGAAGTCCAGACTTGGAGATAGATAGATAGATAGATTGATAGATATAGATAGATAAATAGATAGATAGATAGATACTCCAAGAAAATTGAAGATAACTCTTCAAAAGTCCTCCTAGAATACAAGTCGATCGAAGATTGTCATGTTTCGGTGGGTGCTGATGCGGGTCTTGATGGGTAGTTCCAATTTCTGGCCTCCTACCTAATAGCAATGGCCTCCAACCTACTAGCGATGGCCTCCAACCTAACCTACTAATGGCTGGAGGCCATCCAGTAACAAACTATGCGGAACTGTTCAATGTGCTTCCGATTAATTGGCAACAGCTCAATGTTATTGGACTAGTACAAGTTTTTGGCCCCCTTGGGCTTGAAACGTCTACTCTTCCTTTTGCCAGGTCTTGACAAGGCCACATTATACATCCAAATTTCTTAGCTGGGCTGTCTTGGGTCGTTTCGATCTCCACGGCACTTCAGAGATGAGCAATTCAAGCAAAGCGTTGACTCCGATGGCTAAGTTCCACCTCATAAAGCAGGAAACATCGCATGTCCGGACGTGTGGGCGGAAGTCAAATATTGGTACCACCTGGCCACCACCAATAACAGCGAAAACTTTGTGTAATTATGGATATATAACTCACATGATACATGGCATACACGGAGAACACCAAGCCACTCAATTCGTAGACTGAAGCACAACAAAGGCAAAAAAAAAAAAACACCAGTACCAGCACAGTGGTGTTTTCCATTCCAGCAAACCCCCACCTGAAACTGCCAATTTGGATTGGGATTGGGACACCTTCTTGATCTTGAATGAAGTGTCGGCGCGACCTTGGCTCTGCAAACCCCGGATTCACTCTCAAACTCATGTGCGCATAGCGCGGACAAACAAAAACAACAAGACAACTTCACACACACAAAAATATAAAAGACAACGTGTCGAAAAAGGTGGGCATTTGCGGCGCTACACGAAAACCAACATAACAAACACATGTCCAAACAAATGCATACCTGGACACATGGGAATTGATTCAGGAAAACAGAGCGATTCAGACGCGCCGACCATCACAACGGCCAAGCACGAAAGAATGCTGAAAATATTCATGGCCCGGCTTTGATGGCTCAAACTGGCTACAATGGTTTGAGCAAATGAAGGCTACTAGGCAGCAACATCCAAGAATCAATCTGATACGTTGAATGGGTTTCAATATGTGTTTATCGTTCTCAATGACATCTCCATCTGCAGGCAACCGGTGTTGGTGCTGATGAAACCCCACATGACGTACACCGAATACAAATCAATTGGGAAGCAATCCAGATTTCCCAAACCCCGCCAGCATGAATGTCAAAATGTCATGTGCAAACAGTGTTTCTTCACCTCCAGGGAGCAAAGGCACGCCATGTGCAACTCATAGTGCCACTGAGTGGCGTGGCAAAACGGACTCGAGGGAGGTGTACCTAAACGTCCAACCAGGAACTCCAGTTCGTCTCTGTATACCAGGGACTGTCTCTGTATACAAGTTCCTGTTCGGGCCGGATTACATGTCCAGTGTAGGGTACTATGGAGCAGATCTATGGGAAGAGTTCGCTTTGAATTCGTCCAATTGCTATCTCCAGCAGATCACTTGTGCCCAGCTGTCAGGTATGTCCAGGCGGAGCTCCTCCTCCCGCTTGCTCCTCCTCTTCCTCTTCCTCCTCCTCCTGCCCCCGAACTTCTCCGCCGCCTTGTCGGGTGTAGCTAGCTTTCGGTTTGCGCTTCGGGCTCTGGAGTTGTGTGCCCTGGACTTTTGACGATGCCGGCTGCGGAGGGTTCTTTCGCTGTGGGCGCCATTGGCAGAACTCCGGCTGCGGAGTGGTGCGGAGGGATGCATCCGAACAAATCAAAGAAGAGCAAGTGCCGAAACATCTTTAGAAAGAAAACATGTCAGACTTGATGGCATGACAAGTGCGGGAACACATGCCAAAAAGGATGTCAGAACGCATTGCAGAGCAGTTCCCAGCCTTTAAGCTAGATGATGTCTCAGCACAAATACCCGAATTGACGCCAAAGCAATGTCAAAACACTGTAAAATGTAAGCGTTTGTCCGGATAGTCGGGCAATACATTTGCCCTGCCTTCAATCGTCTCTCAGGGTGGGCTCAACACTTGAAGTCAACCACATTGATTGAATCAATATTGAATATTGTTTTTTGTGCTGCGCTACGAGTGGTTTGCTGCGCTAGGTCCTGGTTCTGTGCTAGGTCCTGGTTTAGACTGACTCCCCCAGTCTCAGAAGCTGGATTGGGCGAGTGATTCGTCTCTCCAAGATTAGACTCAGCAGCTCAGCTCACGACAAAGGCACGTCCTCGCGCGACCGAAGTTGATCAAGCTACAGAAAGCTGGTTGGTGGTTTCAAATTCACTTGACGAGTATCAGTCAGTGGGTTCAATCACTCAGGTTAAGTAAAGGTTGAACACAAATATATAGTGTATATATAATATGTATGAAACCCAGAAAGCCATTCTACAAAGCTCGACCGCCTGAGCCAATTCTTGCTGCGCCCAAAGGACTTGCAGGTCAAAAACATTCTCTCAGATCACTCAGGAGGTGTGAATCTCCAGCCACATCGAGTGAAGCAGCAAATTCCTCGACAAAGTTCATCGTGCGATCCATCTACAGCGCTACACTTCATCTTCTATAGGAACCACATCAACATTACGTCATTTATTCATTTCTTCGCCGCAACATACAGCTCATGTGTTTTTTTCGTGCTCATTTCACTCAGCCTGTCTTCACTTCCTCAGTGACCGGAGATGTGACCATGCGAGGAGAGGCCGGAATTCGGGACCGACCTCGGTCTAGCCGTGTTTCATGACCCCTTCTGACCTGGTCCTAGGGAAGCAGATGTATGAGACGAGGACCACTCACTGACGTGTTTGAATGAACGAGTTTCAACCAGATTTGAGATGATTTGACCTGCTTTTGGGGCTCTTTCAGGGTCTTTTGGGGGGTCCCCTATGTCAATGCAAAGCCTTTTCTTTACTGGTACAGTAGTTTCTCTTGTGACCTTTTATTTGGATTTGGGAAGGTGATTTCTAGATTTTGCTTCCGCAAAAAACCAGGCCGGTGTTGTTCTTCCGGGGGGTTTTCCTCCGACTCCGAAGCTTCGCTCATCCTTCGTGGGGTCAGTCCTCCAAGCAAGTCCACATGACTGAGGCCATGAACGCCATTGAAGGTATCCAAAAAGATGTGGTTATTGGGAGCTTGACGGCTCTATTGGCAAACCGTCCCCAAATGGCTCAGGTGTATCCACAGGTGTGTGTCGTAAGCAATGCAAAAAAGGGTGCCTTTTGTATGCCTTGGTTGTCCTTTTCCAAGGTCCACATTCCACGCCGCACCCAAAAATGCCGCCCAGCATCAATGAACATGTCCCTGGTCGATCGTGGGTGCACAATGGTCCGCCCAGGGTCCTGGCGGTTTCCAGGATGAGCTGTCCCACTGGAGACCGGAGATTGGGATGATGGAATATGAATCGCCCGCGCCCACCACGCGGCAAAAAAAGAAAACACGCCCACCACGCGCTCTCTCCCGGCCGCGTCTCTGTTCTTTTTAAAACGTGTCTCTGATCGACTGATCTATCTATGATAGTTCTATCTATGATAGTACCACTGCCATAAATAATTTTATCCATGGGGAAGGCATCAGCTGGCCCCACTAGAGAGAGAAGTCACCGAGTGCTGAAGGAATTTAATTTAGATTCACCTGGCCTGCCCACCAGGAAATCAAACAAAACAATCTCCTCACTGGAAAAAATATCCGTCATTGCTAGTCAGTCGTCTGGTGAGAAAGAAAAGTCGTTTGGTGGGATCTGCTGAAGGCAAATCCCGAGTTCTGACATCTTCATCTTGGGGATCCTTGGGGTGAAGAACTTCTGGGATTGCACTTTTGATGGCGTATGCCCAGAAACACCCTGGTCCTGTTCAGAAATGACCATGGCACAAGTTCACCCAACTGGAAGAGTGGCCAGTCACGACTTGCCACAATCCACCATAGGGTTCTCAGGTTCGAACTGATCCTCCCTCAGAAATCCACATACCTTCTCTGAAGGTACTTGGACCCTCCACATATCATAATAGAGTCCCCAGTCACCTTCTCAGAGCGTAAGTGGATCCAAAGGGCCTGCAAAAAGCCTCCATACATCTCCATACCACTTTCTCAGAATGGATGTGGACACATGATAAGACCTACTTCGCTGGAGCTGGTGCTTTGTTCAACACCAAAATCAAGGCTGGCTAAGGGAAAAGGGGTCCCTTGCCTCGCAGCTGGATGATGGACCCACCGCAGTCAGACGCCCGGCTGGGGCTCTTCGAGCCATCTATGTACAGAACCTTTTTGTGACATTGAGTGACCTCTTTTATGGATCACCAACTGCACCAACCACCCCAAAATATGGTCCTTTCCTATCAAACTATTTCAAAACTCCTATCAAAACAGGAATCATGTACGGGTTCAAGGAGCTATAGCGACAGCGACTTGGGACAGATCAGAGATTCATGGATTCTCTGGGACGTACAAGTCCAATCCGCCAGCGTGCTGGGGGCGCGGCGGGAGCTGTTCTTTTTTGTCGGAGCCCACCCTTACTTAATTCAGTATAGTGACCTGCTACTAGTTATCAAGTAAGGGCTAAACAAACTACTAAGTAACCTGCTACGAGTTAGTTTGTGACCGCAACGAAACCAGGTCACTCTTGGGGCACTGCCCATGGTCTGGGCCGTTCTTTTGAGTTCCACTGAGGTTCGAAGAAGGTCCTCTCCCAAGATCAGTGGATGTCGCAAAGGCCTTGGGCTCGTTTTGAGGCTAAGCAGGGCGAAGCGAGCGGCTAGAACCCGCTTCGCTCCACCGTGGAAAACATGGAAAACACCGAGCATATATGTGATCACTCAATCAATTGCAATGACGGTTCTTTGTTTTTCATGGAAATCGGGTGTGCGTTGGATTGGGGACGCTTCAGGTTCTGGTTTGGAACGGAATGGTAGTGTCATTCGTCGTTGATCAAGCCGCTAGTCCAAACATATAAGCTAAGATAAGCTAAGTAAGCAATAGTTACACTTACAGCACACTTCCTGGAACTAAGATGGAAATCGAAAACCGCCTGTTTGTAGAGGACAATTGTCTTCTAAGGGGCCATGTTCCACTTCCATGTTAGTTCCAGGGAGTGTAATTCTAGGATTTCTAGGGTTGGAGCAAAGATTTCCCCAAGCTGCAACACTGAGGGTGATGGTAATTGGTGGGGTGTGGCCTCCAGCATACAAGTCTTCCCTCCTTTGTAGGGTGGGTGTCCAGCCCTTAGCAAATAAGATATCGCTAAAATTAATGTTGATCAATCCCAGGCTTTCTGCAAAAACCTTCGTCTGTTTGGAGAAAGGCATCCCCTTGGGTCAACGGGAAGGGGAGGCAGGCATGGAAAAAAAACAGGTTGGTTCATGGGCTCACCCCACCCTCCATTCATGTTCAGCGCTTGGGAAGCTGTTGTTGCCACGAATGGTTGATCCAAAACCCTCTATATAATCATGTTATATTATGTTTATTTTTGTTCATGCAGTGCTACTCAGCCGTCTGGCTAGGAGTCTCCCTCTTTGACACCCATCTTCCCACTTGTGTCCCAATGCCTGTCTGCATCATTGCTTAAAAGCTCAGCATACTCGAAGAGCGGGCCTCAAACAAATGCAAATGAACAACAATGAAGAGTATGAGGAGCTAGTTGGAGACGGTCAGCCGACGGCATTGATTGAAACTTGTGAATTCGAAAGTTGCCTTCAACTGGCAATCTGCAACGACAATTACAGTACAGTATTAGGATTGTGATTGGCCTAGTCCATGAAAGTGGCCTAGTGGCCAATCCGGAAGAAAAAAACAATACCTTCAGCAATCCAACCTGAGATTTCCCAGGGCTCCAAACCCTCAGAAGGTACTTAGACATCCCTGTAAAATTATTTTGGTGATCTTGGCCACTGCATTTTGTAATAAGGGGTTTCTACAAGAACATAGGGCTTCTGTCTGGCTCTACAAATCAGGGGGGCTGCAGGAACAAATTCGCTACAAAATGACAGGATTGGCAGAAGATAATTTGTCTTGCTACTACTACAAAATGTGAATGCCAAAAGCAGAACGCATGCCGCTGTCTCCAAGTTCATGTTTCTACAAAATGAACATTCGAAGGATCAGGGTCTACAAAATGCTTGTTGGAATGACACTGGCCGTCACACTCACGACCAAAATCTGTCTACAGAATCCTAGGTCCTAGGTCTCAATATATCTCAATGATCTTTATGGTCAATAAAAGCTCTTTGTCTACAAAATGACCACCCCATTGTTTGTTTTGCAAACAAAAATGGAGGTCTTATAGAGGTCCCAAGCCCTCCCATGTTGTAGGGCATTCTTTTCACGGGGATACTTAGACTTAGACTCTCAAGGCAAACCTTTCACTGGTTGGAGCCCTAACTGTAGGAAATGAAGGTATCCGGTTCATCCGCTCTGGGCAATCTTAATGGATTCATGTCCAGTTAGTCACTTAGTCTAGCACTTCGGATAGCTTCAGCGATCCCCAGAGTCTGTTCCATCTACCCGAAGAGTTGGAGAGTACCATTGACCTGGACTTGGGCGAAACACACATTTCAGAGTCGTTGGTCAGAAATCCCCTCGTGTTTCCAAGGTGCAGTTTCGCGGCTTTGCACAGTTAGGTCAAGAAAGTCGTGTCAAAACCATCCAGTGCTGCCACGCAAAATCCCGTCGACGGTCGGTCGGTAGTGGTGGATCCGGTCGCGGCGATCGGTCGGTCGGTCTCAGCTTCGTACCGATCAAAAGCCCCGAGAGGCCCATCTGGACGACCCGGGCCATGGAACCCACCCAAAGGCCTCGCCAGCCTCGCGAGATGTGACGCAGGAGGGCAAAGAAAGCTGCCCTAAGGGCCTTCAAGCCCACAGATCATGGATTTTTTTGCAGGTCTTCATGATGTTTCATGATTTTCTTTATGGTTCTGATGGGCTTTTCTATAGCAGATTCTATACAACTCTGTCCTAAGCCGTCTGTTGCATTGGTGCCATAGGCGAATGGAAATCATCACTGAGACAAGTATCCAAAATCCAAAAAAACAGTGTCTTTTTTGTTGGTGAGTCAAAGCTAACGTGAAAGACATGAACTTCAAATCACATTAAAACAAGGGATATAATTGATCAATGGCCAGTTTTCATGTAGATTGAACTATTATAAAAATTCCACATGCCCAAAGAACAACAAGTTGCCAAGTGCTGACTGAAAGTCCCTGTTCTATCCAGGATGCCTTGACGTCAACTCTTCAGAAAACTTGCGGCGACTCTAATTCTGTGCCCTCCTAGACCTGGGTCCCGCCCCTTAGGTGAGTGTGACGATGTGAATCAATCGAGCATGTTGAGACCAAGCTCCTGAGGTCGTATACCTGCAACATTGAGTATACGTGGCTCCTGGCCAGTGCTTGGGTGGATGAACACACGGAGTATAGTGAGTTGCGGAAGTCAAAAGAGGGAACTAAAACGACTCCAAGGGTACTTCGCGTGGCCTTGAGCCTTGAGCCTTGAGCCTTGAGACGTCTGTTCACCCTGGGTGGACCAGTCCAGTTTGGAGTGATCAGGCTTTCTGCATCCTTCTGCTCCAACAAAGCGAAGACTTCCACCAGCTTCAAAGACCTTTTTCGGCGTCCCCAAGGGACCTTAGGTCCTTTACAGGTCAGGTCTAAGTAACCTCTAATCAAAGGGGGATGAAGTTCCGTCACGTTGAATCAGGTAGACAGGTCTTCGGTCATCTTCGGGTGGGACCCAGGCCCGGTCCCCCACCTGCCATCGCCATGGTCTCCCGGAAGGTCTTGCCCACACGGGCCACCTACCCGTTGCTGGGAGGTCCAGGACGCTACGAATGTAGCTCCTGGCCTTACCACTAGTAGCAAGAAGCTACCGGGAGCAAGGGCATCGCTACTAGTCTTAGTAACAAAGGGCATTGCTGCATTCTTGCTACTAGTAACAAGAAGCCACTAGGGGCGGAGGCTCTGACAAGGACGCTGACAAGGACAATGGCTATACTCTATACTGAGAAGCTGCTGGTAGTAGAGTCTAGATCAGGAACACCTTGGTGATATCTGTGGGAGATGTGAAGTGAAAACGCAGTGATCTGGACAAGCTGGGATTTACAATTCCAAGAGGACTCAACATAAACATCCACTTCATCCAAATGCAGGTATATATACGCACATTAAGAGGATTAAGAGGACCAAATAGAGAAGAGAGCACTTACATAAATTTGAAGATCGATGCAGGAAACCTACTCCCAAGATCTAACCGATAAGAAAAAAAAATTGTCTATCAAATTGTCCGCCGATGCACTTTTTAGTTGGAGACAGACAAACAGACAAACAGACAAACAAACAAACAAACAAACACCAACCAACCAACCAACCAACCAACCAACCAACCAAGCAACCAAGCAACCAAGCAACCAACCAAGCAACCAAGCAACCAACCAAGCAACCAAGCAACCAAGCAACCAAGCAAGCAACAATTAAACAAAATCCCCGGAAAGGTTCACCACTGATTGGATTTGGACATTGAGCGATCCTGTCTACCTGGCCCGTGTTCTTCATTCCTGACCTTGCTACGCGCGTGGCGATTCGCATGGACCCGTCGGGGAAGGCCTTGAAGTAACGATAGCCACTCTTGGCGTCAGAGGTGACCATGCAGTGGATCTGGCGGTCATCTGTTTCCAACATTTGTTGGGTCCTGAAATAGTGAGATGTCTTGACACAAACATTTAGATTTTATACCGGTATCCGCTACACCTGTTCTGCCGTCAAAAAGCTGGCCTAGTCTGATTCCAGTGGAACATGAACAGGGTGATTGGAAGTTCCACCATGGGACATGACAGGAAAATGGCACACCCACCATCCATCGGGACCCATCAAAACCACATTCAAACCATCTATATATGATATATATATAGTTATATATATAGAAAGAGAGAGATAGATGTTTGTGCAGTTCGTCACACTGCAGGTGCGCACCGCATTTCGCTCCGCTGTTTCGCTCCGCTCCGCCGTCGTGTGTTGCATCGGTCCCGGGGTCCGGGTCGTGCAGGACGGTGCAGGACGGATGGGTTGGTCTTTCGCGTGGTCTGTGCACCCAGCTTTTGGATCTCGATTTGGAACTCGCGAGCTAATTGGAAGTTCTTCTTTTGGATCTCCCAGCTTTTGGATCTCCCTTTGGACTTTGGAACTCCCGATTTTGCATCCAGCTTTTGGAATGTTCTTCTCACGCATGACTCGTGGCTAAGAGATGGGCTTGACCGAACGGCTCACCTCAGCATCCCAATAGAAATGTTTCAATTCATGTTCCCGAGATTGTTTCCCACTGTTTGTGAACAGGTCAAGACTTGACTTCCGGAAAGGAAGATGGAGATTCACCAGTCGGATAGGTGATGGTTTTGGGGGTGGGATCCTGTCTCCCAAACACCAATCACCCCGGCTGACCTCCTAAAGGATGTGGACGACCATCGGTTTCAACCTCTCATATTCTTTCGGGGGTCCAGGTGTTGACCGTTTAAGAACTGGACACATCCCTCTTCTCTTCTCATCTGACTGAGCCACTGTGTTGAAGAGGGGCTCCAGTTTGCGGAAGTGCCGACCCCATTCCGTGCCCATCAAAGAGCTCATCCTCCAGTCTCCACCTGCATCCTCGTCTTCACCACATCGAAGGGCTGAGTCACCAAGGCTGAACCCGCCGCGCACACCTCAGGGGTCAGCGACTCCACTGATCCAGGTTGCAAGTGAAATCCAAAGGCTCCGAGTTGGATTGGGTTTGAAGCTTCCTTGGTGCTCTCCAAAGATGGTCCTTGGAACTCATACAAGTACGGATTCCATGCTCTTTTCCACTTTCTTGGGGGGAAGTTCTTCAGATTGAATGCTCAAACGTAAGCACACTCATCAGTCATGAGCATTCCCTATCGATTCACATACCCTCTGACTTTGAGGTGAGTGGACACTCTTTGAATCTCTTTAATGTATACTTGGAGGGTCCAACTACCTAACTACCTTCTGAGAAGGCACGTGGCTCCAGAAAGGGCCCTATAGGGCTAGTCGTGCCGAGATTGAAATAGGAACCCCACCTCCCCACCCCCATTGCAATTCCAAAAGGGTTCCGTGCATCTGATCCAAACAGACGACAGGCAGTGGAATCCATCAGCGTTCCGGTAGCTCAATACCAACGGGACATGCTCGTCGGTCAACGAGCCCACCAAAAGCCACGTCGCTGCGGCTCGGTGGTCAAACTATTCCCATGTGCTCCAAATTCCCCGCCAGAGGGTGGTCGAGCTGGTGCGAAAAGGATATACTTAGAGCGCCCAACATCCATTCTACAAGCTGTAGCATGGGCCACAAGCTACATCTTGGAAAAGATTCATGTCCGACAACAATGTGTTCAACATCAACATTAACAAATCCTTTTCCACGACATCGGCTGCAACATTGAAATGTTCAATATCTAATTCCACAACATTAAGGACATATAATATCTGAACCTGAATGACCTCTATGTTGGATCACCAACTACCCCAAATATGGTCTATTCATGTCTATTCAATCAAAACAGGGGTCCATGTTGGGTTCTAGGTTACCTCTCTTTGCTCGATCCTGTCACGAAAAACATCCACTGGGCCCTCCAGGCGCCGCTGATCGCCGCACAAGTCATAGCGCGTTGCTGCATGGCTTTGCGGTCAAACTCCTGGGGCCATCGGTGATCCGGACCCTCGCGTCGCGCGTCGCTACACACACAGCGACACAGTGGCAACTGGACAGTGGCCCACGCAAAGGCACTTCTGTAGATGTGCAAATGATTGATCAGGAATCAAACCATCGAACTCCCTGTGAAAGTAAGCAAATGGAGCCCTGAGTAGTGCGGCTTGTGGTTTGAGTCAAGTGAGGATGAATAAGTCCCCGAAAGATGTCCCACAGCTGAGGGACAATAGCCAAGTGAATGACCAACATCAGCCCCCCTGAAGTGCCAACTGTCACTCTGGAAATCCCTCGAGCCTTCAATCCATCTGGTTTGTTGCTAGAGGCCAACATCGTCCTTGTCTTTGAAGTCCCTTCCCTTCCCCTCCCTCCCTTCCCTTTCCAGGAATTGCCCTTTCCTTTCCTTCCTGTCACTTCTTTCAGGAAATCAACCTTTGTTTTTTTGCAAAAGGCTGGATCCAAAATTGGTTGGTGTCACATTATACCAGTGGTGAACTCAAACAACTCAGTTAGTTTGAGAAGCACATGTTTGGGTCCACCACATGCCACCCTTCTTTTCTTCACCGAGCCACAGGAACTCTGATGGATTCCATGCAGTCGTTTTGGTTCAGGCCGGAACCCTCTGGGGACCCCGTGTTTCCTCATCCAGCCTTGGCACTACTATAGTGGGTTGAAAGTAGATGTAGCAATCCCCCATCTAAAAAACGTCCTCTGGTGCCAGTGCCATCCACTCTGAAACCAAGGTAGTGAAGTACGTAGGAGGTCTGCTACAACCCCGTGGGGGCACAGCTTTCAACTAGCGGAGAGACCGTTGAAGATCCAGCTTGCAACTTGCCTTGAAGGGTGGGGAGTGGGGAACAATCACTCACAATTCTCAAAAAAAGCTGGACAAGGATATCAAAATGGATTGGATGAGCTGTGATGCTGCAACAAACTGCACTCATCTTTAAGTTGGAGATCAGAAACCCATGAGCGATCGTGATCATCTCCCATTCAACTTTGTTGTGCCTAATTTGGCATCCTACTTTTGGCATGGGATCTCTTCTGAGACCGGCTACCGAATTGGCGGAGTGGACTCTGAACTCTGAACATGCTGAACATTTCATGATCCATGCCGACTTGCACCGCGCTCCGGCATCACCTGCCCCCCCCTGAAGCCCACACCTCCCTCTTTTCTTCCTCTGGCTGATTCGATAAGCCCAGCCAAACTCAGCTCAGGACTTGTTCAACTTGAAGCCCAACGTCGATTCGCAAGACTCCAAATGTTTGGGTCGTTCTCCATCGAAAGCTCCCCAACTTTGCAAGAGCCAATTTGGCAGTGATGGCAAAGATTGGCAGAGCCACTCAAGCCTCAGTGACTGGATGAAGGACACCCTACATCATTAGGGAATATATATCATCATTATATATATTATTACAATATGGCATCTGGTACGGAAGGCACCCCATACGGTGATGGTAGTATCAACCAATAACTAGGACCCCTATTCAGGTGTCCTGTTCCCTATTGCTTGTTGCGACCTACTGCAAACAAGACACAGTGTTTTCAGGCCTGTTCAAATTGGATATACACTTGCATTCTAAATGTTGCCAGTCAGGCTTAAATCTCTTATAAAAAAAGATTGCACGGCCAGCCACATTTGAAACGATGGGTTTTAAATACAAGAAGATTAGAGGATTATTGAACTGCATTTGAGGTTTAATCCCAACATGGGTCGCTGAGTGAGGCACTGGAGCGTTTGACTCTTGGCAGATTGGATTTGGCCCAACGACCATGGGAAAATTTGGGGAACACATGTTCTATTGCGAGTGGGATTGGCAGATTCGTTGAGCCCACCAAGCCAAATGCGGGGCCTTGGGATGAACTGATCTTCAGAGGTAGAGGTTGAACATCACAATTATCTGAGAACCACTAACCAGCAAAAGAATAGGATAAGGTCAAAAGCATTAACTGCCAGTCAGTCTCTGCGAACTTAAAAGCACATGGCTTTCCTCGGCAAGTGATCCTACCTTGAAGACAGAATTAATTCATTGGAGAGATCATGCAAGCAACCCTTCCTTGTCCATTCCAACTGCATTTTGATTGCTGATCAGCCATGTGCGGGAGTGCAGGTTCCCGAAGTGGAACAGGCCAACCAGTGACGACAAACTGGACCAGGAAATACTCTACCAGGGGATCCAGGCAAACCACCAAAAATGCCACTGGTAACCAGTGGTTCCAAAGACTAAAACCACTGACCTAGAAGTCTTGGTTCCTTATTACAAAGTGGCAACTGGGATCGTCTGGGATGGGTTTGGAGCTCGTGTACCGGTTCAATGTGCCTAAGTCCAGTGAGCAAATCCCCTGCCAATACCCACCGACAGGCTGGGCTGTGGGTTCCTAACAGGTTTCTGGGCACTGGACTTGTCACCAGGAAACCCCTGGACTGGAGAGTCCGGAAGATAAAAACACTATATATATATGATTCGATCCATTGCACAGCGAATCTTGAAGCTACCTCGCATCTCTCTGACCAACACCGTTCCACATCAACTGTCGCCCGGAGGCATTCGCACTGGAAACACATCCGGCACCACGACCATCACGTCTCCGACGTGGCCACAATCTCGCCGGGGCCCAGGTTCACCGCCTCGCCAAAGAGGAGCTGGGCACCCCAGCTTCACCGTGTCCGTGAAGACGACGGGGAGCAATATCTCACCAAACATCGATCAAATTGGCTCCACATCGATCTATGTATTATCCACCAACGAAAGGTGCATTGGACCATTGGAGATGAAAATAATTGAAAAATAGTTCAGTTCTAGAATACTAGAAGGGTGGTGAATTATGGTGAATCCTTGAAGTGCCAACCCAAATCCACTGCTTTATTGATTTTCAGAACCTGAAGCATCAGTTCCTTCTGGTGTGGAAGAAAAACTCACTTACAAATACTATCAAACACTTACACATCATGAGTGTTTGGGTCTTTACAGTTCAGTCAGTTTTGGATTTCTACAAATCCACATAATATCATACAATTTCATAGATTTGCATTGGTGCACCGGCACGCGGCCAGGCATTTTGGATAAGAATCGAAGCGAAGGCGGACTTCTGCAGTCGTTCGGTCGAGAACGGCTAGAGTAGGCAAGCAATGGATGGCAATGTCTTCATGCGACGGCTCCAAACCAAGACCGTCCATGGGACCGGAACAGTTACATGTGTATATATATATATATATATGCACCATCATAAAAACCCCATGTGTTCATGACCCATCCATGTGGTCGTAACTCTTCCAGTCCCATTCGTCTGGTCTGGGAGAATGCAACATGCGAGCCGAATGCCGGACTTGGCGACCTTAAAAGTGGTGATGCAAAGTTTCAACGCTGTGAGCAAGCAAGGCCCGGTGACCAGTTACGATCAAGGCCCGGTTGAAAAGTGAGAACCAGTAGTTACTAGCTATCTGGGGAAAATTGAGATTCCAAAGACCTGTAGAGGGGCTGCGTTTTGAAGTTCAACCATGTGCATACTGGAATTGGGAGGCTCTGCCCAACAACCCCCCCCACAAAAAAACACGCACAAAATGGGTTCCAGAGTGCTCCAGCCTCCCCATCAACTCCACCACGACCCAGAACCGCACCTGCTCCGAGCCGTCCATGCGGCGCTCAAAGCGGACGACGAGGCGCGTGTCGCTGTACTCGCCCAGGACTTGGCCCAGGGTCCCAGACTCCACCAAAAGGATGGCCTCCGAACCCACTTCTGCTCCGACCCGACACAAGGTTTCTGGCGTCGACGTGAAGTTTTCAGCGCAGCCAAGCTGAACCGGCAGTGGAACCATGAGATATGCATACCAAGATTTCATTGAAGATAAAACAGTCAAAATCGATGTGACCTGATCTTGTCATCTTGGTTCATCCCAAAAAATGTTGGGGCAAGTCTACTACAACCCAAAAATACCGATACCCAAAGCATCAAACGCAAATACAACGGTCCAGGACCAGGGCCGCAAACTTGGAGAAGAGCAAAAGCAAAGACTATCATAATACATCATAATACCATATGCCTGTACAGGCTTCAGCTTTGCGAGTGTGTAACCTGTATTGGAACGTTTGATTGTCATTCAGAACACACGAAGGTCGAACGGATACGTGTTTTTCCGGTTCAACTATTGACCTCCAGGCCCTAGGGATTTGAGACCTAGAATCACCCATCCAAGTGCACCAAAATGTTTTATATACACATTTTGAACGCTCTCTGAAGTTTGAACGGGTACGGGATCGAACACACACGGGTATGCAACATTTTTGTGCCTCAGCCCGTGTTTGAGCGGGCCCGAATGGTGCTGAACAGGTGCACCCAGGTTCCCGTATGGTTTATGTCAGGAAAGGCAAACACGGGTTCTAACGACAAATGTTGGGTCTGAACGCATAATTGGCCATATCCGGTTAAATTTTGTGAGCACACTTGCAATACAGGTCGTAATTGCTTTGACTTGCTGGTTGAAGAGAGCTATATGACAGGATATGACCGGTTACTATCCAGATATATACAGTATATCATTTACACTCGGGTGACAGACACAGCAGGGGGGCTGCGGCCCTACTTTGCAACCCGCAGATTTTGTGGGTCACGGAAAGTACATGTGGCAAGGCCCGCTCCCACAACGTACTGAAATCTACCATCCTCTGCGGGCTGGTGCGAATCCATATTCGTAGCTGATGAACTCAGCGTGCGCACGTGTGTGCTCGACTGGACCAAGGCGCATTGGGACAAAATGAAGTCAATGGCGTTGATGTTTTCAAAACCATACCCCCGAACCCATGTGTCCCGGTCGAAAGCCCGCAGATCAGCTGCTGGGCATCTTATACGAGCTGCATGATGAGCCACTTCCAACCGAAAAGGTGGTGCAGGTTCTTTTCCAGGTGCTCTTGCCTGACTCGACTTTATGCCACTGGAGACAAGTTTCACCGGATTGCTGCGCCCATGGCACCAAAACTTGAGTCACGTCA